TGTGAGCCCGGCAATGTGCCTGACTCCGAGGTTTGTTGGTTATTTAGTGTGTGCATAGTCGTCTAGCCAAGCGATGGCATCTTCAGTGGTATGATGCAGTTCTTCTAGGCCACCACTGAACCTAGTCAGCAGGCTTTCATCGACAATGTGCATCATTGTCTGTGTTGCGCCGCAGATGCACAAAGGGCTGTCAAGAAGGCCCGAGCGGTACTGGCTGGCTGCACAGAGACCTTGCCCGCTCCAGAATCTGTTCAACAGGGACCATTGACGATGGGGCAGGTCAAAACCAGGCGGGCAAATTGTGGGGTCGGCAATGAGGGACTGGTTGGGGATTATAGCAGATATCCACTCTCGCCAGAGTGTTTCCGCCCTAACATTCTGGTGTGGCGGATAAGAACATAATAGGCAACATGACGGCAAACGTGCAGCTAGTGGTTTAAACAGGTCATAGTGCAGCGGCAGGCTTGAGTTGGCGCGTACTTTCTCCAGTAACTTGCCAGTGGCAACCTCTCGTCTGATATGAGGAGGAGTAATATTGCTCAGAACTGGAAGCCATGGGAGTGCAGTCGAACACAGGGTGCCAGAGATGATACGCATGGCGGCATGTAACTGTGTATCCACCAGTTTGGTGTGTGACAATCAACTCCAAACTGGTGCACAACCTAAGAACCACCGAATACGAGGTGGCAAGAGCTGACATCCGCAAAGTTGGAGCACGAACATACCATGACGAACCTGCCAGTTTGCTAAGAAGATCATTGCGCGTCTTAAGTTTAGCTGCTGTCTTCTTCAGGTGGGCATGGTAACTCAGTGTGCACGCTAAGGTCACACCTAGATAGGCCGGTTCTACTTCATGCTTCATTTTCTGACCATTCAGATAAACATTCAGTTCTTGGGTTGTGCTGGCATGATGAAGAGGGAACAAACTGGAGACTGTTTTTATGATAGGTTTCAGAGTAGCAGCCGTGTTAGTCTGTATCCGCAAAAAGAAGAACAGGAGTACTTGTGGCACCTTAGAGACTAACAAATTTATTAGAGCATAAGCTTTCGTGGACTACAGCCCACTTCTTCGGATGCATATAGAATGGAACATATATTGAGGAGATATATATACACAC